GAAGAAATTGTCTATTTTACGTTCTCCGATAACAGCAACGTCATTCCACCGAGCTAGGCGCTTCCGAATTCCATCTTTATCTTTGATGACGTGGCATGCGACAAGCAGGTCGCGATAAGACAGTACTTTGCAATGGGACGGCACGCGGACGTTTGCTTCTATCTCTGTCAGACGCAAAGATACCCAAGCACCTTATCCGCGACAATGCAAATCTGTTGATCCTGTTCAAACAGGATGGTACCAATCCAAAACGCGTGTACAACGATCACGTGAATACCGACATGTCTTACGAGAATTTCTGCGATTTATGTCGTGAATATTGGCAACAAAAATATGGATTTCTAGTGATTAACAAGGACAGTGCTCTTACCGATGGGCGATACAGAAAAGTATTTAATGACTTAGCAATACCGTGATGTCATCAGTTGACATGGATAACAGCATAGATCGTGAGCGGATCACTAAGGAGATTGCGAAAATGAGCGATTCGATTCGCAAAAAGTACCGCGCTTTGAAGACCGGTAAAATGGCGAGGGACATTGCATTGAAGAGACACTTCAAACCTATTATCGACCCGTTGAAACAGATTGTTGAAAACACCGCTGAATCTTCTAAGGATCCTGCCATGACTGAAAAATTCTTTTCAGGGGAAAACGAGGAACCAAAACTCAAAAGAAAACGACCGAGTGCTTTGTACTATCCTATACAAGCCTCCACCCCTGAGATACAGTCTTGTGTCAATCGAAAGCCGTACCATCCGCTTTGAACGAAATCTCTGAAATACCACATCCGCCCGATTTGTGGTATGACCATGTTCCCTCTGTCGAAGAAACCACCCCGCACAAAATCATAGGATTTTGGCCCTCGGTGAAATTGGCTGAAATTTTAGTATGTTGTAGTTCTTGACTCACTGATCAAAAGTGACCACAGGCACATGTAACGTCCGGTGCGCCTACAATATAGCGTCCCGTCCGTTTACCAAGCGAGCGCGAGCACGGAATATAGCGAACCAATATAATACGTGCCGACTATAAGCGCGTTCAGCTATAGGCCAAGCCACCGAAACCATCGTGTTCGAACGCCGCGCATACTGCGCCTGCGCCAAAGTATAAATACTAAAACCAATGCAAGAATGCACTTTAACAAGAAACCATCGATACTACGGGATAAGGAATAATTAAAGATAACAACCGACCTTGACGCAGCTGCAGGGAAAACCCGCAGACCCACGGAAAACTAATAAAAATGCATAACACCAACGCAATGCATCGCCGCGTAACCATGAATGTACCCACTGGTCACAAAAGGCCCCTGAATGCAAGAGAAATCATCGCGAATAAAATCGAAGAGCACGCAACTTAGAAAGAGCCTTAAACAAACACTCGAATTCCACAAGCACAAAGCACGAAAAGATCCAGAATAATACGAAAATTCATGATGAAAAAACACACCAAGAACAGATGCAAGTTCTGCCGCAACGGGTTGCAGTACGCGACGACTGAGCGCGCCAGTACGAACCTCGCGACCTCCGCAGCGAAATCAAAGGCACAAACTAACTAAAGTCTAATCATCATTAGAATAAATCGCTAATAACATAATCGGCACACAATAGAGATTTCGCAATAACACCAGGACGTGAACATCCCCTTACCGCGGGGCGCGAGGGGCCACGATATTAACTATATATGAACGAGCGCGTTCACGGACTCGGTTCCTATTCTTTCCTATCCACCTAAAGCTAAGGTAGGAATACCGCGCTTACATTGAGCGAAAGCGACTTCCCATGTAATCTCAAAGATCCGGCCCTAACCGTGCGCCTCCCCAGGCGTCTTTAAAGCCATCCTTAACCGTGACTCCAAGCGCGGCTCACGCAGGCGCGCCGACGAGCCACACTTCCACGTGGAGCGCCTTCATCGGCGTCGAGGCCTCCACAACCTTTCCCCTTTTTCTTGTTGTCTTATTATGTTACACCAAATAATAAATTCGCGTAATTATAATATTAAAATTATAGAAACATAAATTCGTATCTCTTTCCAGATCCTTCACAGAAACGGAGAAAGTAGATAGAGCGAGTGTATGATGAACATACATACAGCTGCCCTCTCGAGAGATTATAATCTCCATGTTACAAGTGCTCACAGCACGCATGGGCGCTAATAAAATCTGAAAACTCCTCTGATTCTCCAAATTGTTCTCTACGAAGGACCTCGAAGGAGCCAGTACAAGATAAAAGCCTCCCCGCGAAACTCAGAATAACATTAAGATTTCGTGCCGATGCGAAAGGCACTGGTGACAGCAGCCTGCCCCAATACTGTTAGGAAAACATTATTTCTGTAGAAGCTAAGGCTTCGCCCCGCGCGCCCCGCTCCGCGCCCGCGTTCCACGAGATTTATGCCGCGTCTCGAAACACAATAATCACGACAAACACGCCACTTCGGACGTAACAGCACAAATCCTGAAAGACTTGTTTTTTTGTTGTAGCCATTTAAAGTTTTATTTTACTAATGCCTCAAAATCAGGTTTCTATAATAAATCAAGAGATTTTAAATAACATTATGCCAACCACTCTCATCACCTTCACTCCCAATCTCATCTCTACTCCATTCCCACTCCACCCCCATCCTCATTCCCATACACATACGCCCGCACGCGCATTTTTAGGGGTGATCCTGATTGACCACGGCTCGATTGGACACCACCAATCACAGTGACCGGTGCTTAGGAGCTTTGTAGTCTCAAGCACTGTGAGTGGCTCGTGTCCAATTGAGCCGTGTCCAACTGGGTGCCACCAGTTTGTGTATGCATCAATGGTACATCTATAATTTTAGTTCTTCGTCCGTTCTCAGAATTATTCGGAATCAACGACGTGGACGTGACAGGCGTTTCATTCCTTTGGGTTATTTAATTTTCGTGAGTCCCATTGCCGCATATGAATGTAAACAAAGCGAAGAGGAAAAGAATTTTCTATCCTATGTTGCTATCGCACTTTAGAGAGCATCCGATATTTTTTTGTACATGTAGCTTCACATGACGAAATAAACATGCGGGTCGTGATAATCAAGTACTTCGCACATGAAAGGTAAAAAAACTCACACATTTCAAATGATATGCGTGAGAGAAATCGTAAAAATCTAGCAAAATCTAAGTACATAGTAAGAATGCTCGCGCGGGCGTATGTGTATGGGAATAGAGGTGGGGATGGAGTGGGGATGGGAGTCGGGTTGGGAGTGCGGGTGGTGAGAGTGGATGGCATATTATTATCTAAAATCTCTTGATTTATTACAGAAACTTGCTTTTGAGGCATTAATAAAATAAACTTTAAACGGTTATAACAAAAAAACTAGTCATTTTCAAGCTTTGTGTCTATAAATACTTTTGATCAGTGAGTCAAGAACTATAACATACTAAAATTTCAGCTAATTTCACCGAGGGCCAAAATCCTATGATTTTGTGCGGGGTTCTTTTTGATGTTACCGATGAACCGCTCGTAACATCTATTCGACACCTTCAAACATCCGAGGGTCAGGAAAAGTTGCATGCAAACTATGGTCCGTTGGGACAGAAATATATGAAAGCGGTTTTGAGTGGCAAGAAAGCCGTCAACATAGACGTCGTGTACGGAGTTTATTTCAGCGACGAGGGAATGATGCTTATGATAAACATATCACCTTGCACAAAAACGATGATATAATTGTAGATGGGAAAAGATATGATGGAAAACCGGGTCTGTACGAGTTAATTTTCATGAAATTTCCCCATGAAGGTATCTGTACGGATGATGACATACGCACCTACAAAAGCATTCTGCTGACGACAAACGCTCACCGGCGCGGTCATAGCCCGAGTAATCAAGTAATGAGTAGTAAAAGATACAAGTAAAGAACATAATAGCGCCATTGGTGTCGGATAAAAAAGTTGGAACGGGAATAAGCAAATGAGTGGATTTACCGCGTACGATGACACTAAACGATAACAAGATCGACTATGTTCATTGGACGATCCCAACGAAATTGTGGATCGTCTTCGATTGCTCAAGGCCTCGCGCCAGACTGGTCACAATGGTCACAATAACGAGATTCTATCCATTATCGAAGAGCTTCGCGAAGCCGGTCTGATTATAAATTGACCTCGTTCTATACAGATCGTTCAGTTAACATCGCAATTCCGATCAACAAGTTTGGACTATCGCTTGGAGGAGGAGAAAGCGAATCGCACTATCAGTGGCGTGGATTGCTCAGAAATCACGTGTACGATAACGCTCTTTGCAAAGCCGCAGCCAACTTTGACGCAAAGTCGCGCAAGATTCAACGATTATCGCTACTGGTGGATGATGCTGACGCAGCAAACAAACGATACGCGCAACAGCGTGTTCAAGATTTGAAAGATCGTCTGAACGAAGTCGAGAAGAAGATTACAGCTTAACAAAATAATGTACTGGTTATGCTAAACGAACTTGAAAAGTCAATCCGAGAAATGCATCTTTCCGAATAATTATTCGCAATGTTCGAGAAACGGCTGCTGGTTAATGAATTGCACGCTCCGGCGAGAAGAAATTTTCCGCGAAGGCACGTATACGGTGATCTGTGGATGTGGTCTAGATGCGTCGTTATACGCGATTCAACAGAGGTTAGCACTACATTCTCACCATTATCAACGTGCTGAGTAAGCACGCTTGGGCCGTACCGCTTAAAACCAAGAGTGGAAAAGATGTGAAGGCGATCGCAAAGATAATTCGAGATGATAAAAGATGTCCGAAAAATTTACAGACTGATAGAGGGAAGGAATTTTACAACTCGGATGTGCAGAAAGTCTTGAAGGAACACGATATCAACCATTATTCTACGTATTCCGTAATGAAGGCTTCGGTCGTCGAACGGTTCAACCATACATTGAAGAACGACATGTGGAAACAATTTACGCACAACGGAAAATACAAATGGATCGACATCCTCCCGCATCTCGTTTCAAATTACAACGCGCGCAAGCATCGAACTATCGGTATGTGTCCCATCGACGTTACCTCCGCGATCGCCGATAGGCTCTTAACCACGGTCTACAACCGCGTAAAGATTGCCGCACTCACGCGATACAAAGTGGGTGATTCGGTACGCGTGAGCAAATTCAAGACAGTCCTTGATAAAGGTTACACGCCGAATTGGATCACGGAGGTGTTTGAAATTATCAAAGTGCAGCAAAGTAATCCAGTGACGTATCTATTGGAAGAATCTAGCGGGGAGCCTATCGCTGGAAGATTCTACGAATACGAATTGCACAGCGTCGCTAACCCCGATGTGCATCTTATTGAAAAGGTATTGCGCAACAGGAGGAACGAGTTTCACGTGAAATGGTTGGGATTCGCACAATTCGTGGATACATAAAGACAATGTGTTGTAAAACATATATTTATTATATAAGATATAAATACGTATTATGCATATTATAAATATCATATACACGTATTATATTTACATATATATATTATATTATACATATATAGTATACATATTATACGTACCATATATGTTATACATATTAAACATATTATACAAAACAAATGTGTTTTATTTACATCAGTAACGTCCCCATGGCAGCATGTCGGTGGAACTTGGCCCGATATACGGCTTATCATCGTGCGGACTTAGAGCAATTTTTGTTTTCGATATGGTGTACACCTCGTGCAATTTTGATCTCATGCACGACTGCCTACGCGTCATTTCAGCTGAGTCGTTCAAGCACTTCTTGTAATCCTCGAACAGTATAAACCTCGCTAAAATGTTGCTCTTGACGCTCTTAGCCTTTTTCGTATCCTTCTTTCCTTCTATACGCAAGGTATACATTTTCGTTCTAAGTCCTATGAATTCGGTAATGATGGCACCGTTGTTCTCATCTTTCATAAGGTCTGGAACTTTTTTATTTGCGAGCGGAATACCGTACTCGTTGTCAACCGTGCAATCACTCGTGTCAAATCTATGTATATCACGTTTCATGATGTCGTACACATCATCACATTTTACGTGATATATGAGGCTATCTGTGTCCGTATACATAATTTTGCATTTTTAGCGAAACACTGGTGCCATGTACTCGTGGTGAAATTCGTACAAATACGTTGTCGATATATCGAGGATGCACATTCCCATGTATATCGGTTTGTCGAACTTCACCTCGAGCTTACGCAGTTCTATCGCAACCAGATTCTCCGAAAAGATAATTAGACTATGGAAATTTAGTTTGGCGATCATTGACTCCGCACCGTATCTGCCTTCCCATTGCGTGACGAGGCGCACGTCAAAGCGATAGCGCACGTTCTTCATGGTTTTGCCAAATACTGCGTTATTCATAAGTATTTATAAATGTTTTTCAAAATTGTTCTTGTCTGTCACGGCCGCAATTCTAACTGTATGGGACGCAGAGCGCGCATTCGATGTCCCCGCTCTACAAGTTTACGCATAGGTGCGAATCAAGCGGTAGCATAAGACGACGATTGTTGGCAATGGGGTGAAGAGAGGAGAAAAGAAAAATTTGAAAGAGTTATTTCGATTGCTGAATTTTATCGATGTCGGTAGTAGGAGCAACCGAGTTCCTTCGAATGTCACTACTTCAAACACTCCAGTGACTGTCTCGAATCGCGTTATTTGCGGCTTCGGGCTGTTCGTAGATCTGCGCGCTGGGGAAGGATCCGAGTTGTTGGCCGGCACGGGGTGGTAAAACCCTGGTCGCTGCACGGTACAGGGATCTGTAAATTCCCTTGGGTCGAATTCCTCCCAATGATGGTATTCGCGGACTAATTTTTTTAGAGCTTGCCCCCGACCGGCGCGGCGTACTCGAGGCATCTGTGAATCAAAACGCCATAGGTCACCCCCGAGCAGTCGGTGGGCAAAACAACGAAAAGGGCACGAAAAGGGGTATCTAGAGTTAGCTCGTGAGCGACGGGGTGAGGTCAGAAGGTGAGGAGCTCGATGTGAGCCCTTGTGCCCCGCTCGGACGGCGGCCGGAGCTCGGTGTGAGCTACACGGTGACCGAGGGTAAAACGTCCTCGCAGCGCGGCTAAAGCTCGTTCGGACAGAATCTTAAAGAGAGGCAGGATCCCGTATCCACTCGGTCAAGGTTGGAGGACGTCGCTTGATGGTTACGCGGCGCTGATATACATGTGTAATGACAGAGCTACTGGACGGCACATGCAGCACGATGACAAGCAGGCACTTCGCAATGAATGAGGCGCGATTCGTGGCGGGAATTAAGAGAAAAAAACAACAAAAAAGATTTCACGAAAGAAGAGATTTAATTTTACTCGCGGGTTTGAGTACACTTTAGCGACGGAGGAAGACTATCGCTCCGGTTACATTCAAAAGAATAATGTACTGATAGTTAGCGGTACAGCATTCGCTAACTTAACGCACGACAAAAACTAAAAGAAAATATATAAAAGAAAAATCTACAAGGTTTGCGACTTCGACTCGCTATGTATTGATGTATTGCGCGTTGTTAACCAATATTTTACGTAGAGTTGTCTCTAAGTCTACGAATATTAAAATTGTTCGCAACTCCGCGTTATTCGGATGCCGAGGTGTGACATAAAACTCACTCTGACCCAGACTCTTAGTATTATCGCCCTGAGAGTGGTCGTTTGTCGGGTGTGGCCCCGGCAGAGTTCGTCTATGGGATGTCGGCCCGGAGCAGCAACAACCAAATGAGAATCGGAGCGCACACACTCAACGCGAAAGTGAATGGAAAGAGAATCCAAAGGAAAATTTTCTATCGCGAACTCCTTTTTCCGTACCGTGATCAACTTGTTAGACGAATTTTACCGAACTCTGGACTGCGATCAACCGTACTCGAAGAAAATTATCGGACTCTCTGTGCCCACACCGGGCGCCGTTTATACAATGTTATTAGGGGTGAGAGGCAAGAAGGGTTGACGCGTTAACGTCTATATTTGTTTATGAAGATCATTCTAGAACATTCTATCGTTTCAATTTTCGTTAATTTAAGCATCTTAGAACTTAAATTTCGAGGAGTTAGATGTTGACAGGGCCTCCTTGTGAGCTCCGCCCCTGTACTGCATCGCTTGCAGTTGCAGGCGCGCGCTTACTTGCAGCGAACGGCGATCGCTCGTTTTTATAAATGGTTTTACATGTAGAGCCTCCGCTCTTTGTTATCAGTTACAACGGCTTTTGCAATGTTTGTTTAAAGCGTTTCCTGTCACTTTCCGATTAAAGTGTCCATTTTGCGCTTTATCAATTATTGCTAATTTAGTGTTAAGTCGGTTTGTGGTGTTCATTGCGGTTGCTATACCATCGCAATTTGAATTATTTGCACTTTTTAGTTTTGTGTATTTAATTCGTGCTTTAAATGCGCTGTTTCTTTATCCGGTGCTCTACTGTTACTGAGAGGGGTGTCCGCTGCATCCTTTTCTGTTATTTTTTACTGAAATTCATGGGATTTATGACGGTTCTCAGCTTATAATTTAATCATGTCGTGCATGCGCACGGCGCCCACAATTGCGGGCACGCGAGGCCGCGTGCTAATTGCGTGATCGCGTTTTGCGCGTGAGCCGCCGTTTCGCGGCGAGTAGCGTTACCATGGTAACGCTTTTAGCGTCTCTTATCCTGACGTTCGCCGATCTTGGCGAAAAGCGGCGGACGTTACAATGGCCAAAGTTTTAAATTTTGTGTTTAGTTCTATATAATCGCGAAACCATGGAGATTGCGCGAATTACAGTATACGGTGAACCTTTGCGATACGAAGGCCGTGACGAGTGTACTGCTGCAGGTTGCGATAATGTATGACGTAACGTTGCTTATCGTATAATTTTGCGAGAAGCTTGTTATCGCGCTTGCCGGGTGGTTTCTCGCGCGTTGGACAGAACGGTAGGTCAGTGTTAGCGCCATGAAGATGTTGCGGGTACTCCACGTCCACCCCGAGAATATAGCCTGTCGGTGAATCTAACGCGATGGTCGTAAAATCGAAATTGTGCACGTCGTCGACCCATCGAAAATCGGCGTAGGGTAAATGGTTAACACATCGCCCAACCGTAGACGTTGTTGACATCATAGTATATCAAGTACGATGATGTTTTCGATGGAAAGTACGACGTCATGTATTTATTGTTGGCTCGCGCGTACCTGTTTGAACACTGGCTCAGACCGCCGCGTATACCGCGTTCGACAAACATGACCATGTCGATGTCAGTCAGCAGTTCAAATTTTACACCTGTATGCTTTAACACTGCATCGCATGCAAAGGCAGATAAGGTATAATAGTACACGGGGTCGCGCCCGTAACTCGCGATGCAGCTGTCGCGGAAATTTTCAAAGATATCATCCAACAACAATACGTCTGTTTTTAGATAAAGATTGCTATATTCGCCGTGCGTTTGGATGGAGAACCGCTGCCACACGGCGTGCGCGTAATCACTCTCAGATACCGTGCTGTCAGTCAATGAGTTATACAATGACTCGTGAAGCGGCAAGCGCAATTTGTTCAATTTTTCACTGTAGTCAATGTACTCGTTCGGAAAAACGTCCTTTCGAGTCAAAAGATTAAAATTTTCTTCCGATAAATTGGAAAATTCGCGTCGCAGTATCCGCAGCTTATCATTGTTGAGAAAAGATGCCTATTTATCCAAACTAGAAGCGAGAAATCTATATGAATCTATAAACTGTAAATGCATGTAATTTTTTTTATCAATTTTGCTACTATCGACGTGTGTTTGGTGAATAACATATTTTCTTTCGTTATTGAAAGCAGATCTACGCGTGCTTCTTACGTGGTGGCAATTTCTTTGATTATGAAATGAGCGTCATAGCCTGATAAGTTATGGAAAACTACGGGTATGCAATTCGAATCCTTATAATTTAGATTGCAATTTGAATGCGCGGGGCTTCTGTATCGCCTGGTTAAGTGGCAGTGATCGAGCACCCGCGTATCGTCTTTCGCGAACGGTTTCTCGCACACTCGACAACGCGAAACGCTATTAAATTTTTCCCAGTCGTCGCGCGTAAAATCTGCTATGGGAACATTGGCTGAAATTATAGACTGTACACATTTTTCAATTCTTCCACGAAATGCCACGCTATGCAGTCCTTATCACGGCGAAATCAATAGCTTGATTGCGAGCTGTCGTAGGAGCAGTGTATGTGATACCCGATACTAAAGACATTGTAGTGTTGGTATGTTTGCGTAGCGGATTCAGGGTTCCTATCCACCTTTTTCAATGCACACTCATGATCGACGTAGATAATGAACGGGATGCCCTTTTTCCGGCAGTGGTCGCAGAAGCTCAACCGCTTGTCGTCCTCGCTCGGTAGTCTGATTGTGCAATTTAATTTTTGACAGTCCTCGCTGTGTATCTCCAATTTTGCGCTCAAGCTGAAGTAGTGTAGGCCTCTGGAAACAATTATTATTATTATTACTATTATTATTATTATTATTGTTATTATTACATACCTATCGCAGAAATATTTCCTGTTCTTTTTTTCTGCTAAGTTGAGAACTGACAAGGCGAGATAGATCTTTAATGAGCGCAAAGTGTCCCACGTTGTCAGCCTCCACGTACAGCAGATTTATGTGCTTGCTGCTTTTCCGGTCGTCGAGTCGTATCGGCACAATCCCTTTCTCGATGGCGTGGACGTTGATGGAAATGTCGTTTAGAACTTCAAATTTCTTAATCTGGCTCAATGTCATTAGAAATTCAATGCCCACGAGATTCAGTACCGATGTGTAGTGTGTATATGATGATGTTCGATGCGTATTTCCTTGAGCTGGGTATAGAGCGGTGACCACTGACCACGCGAAACACGCATTATCTGTAGATTGCACGTTGATCACCGCTCTCTTTAGCATAATTTCTCGCGGGAGTTTGATGTGACATCCCGCGCACAGAAGATTTAGTTTATTTGCGTTCACTGCTAAATTTAGTATACACGATAGTGCCCATCCGCTATCGCGTTTTTGAAATTCTTCGGGCGATGCTAGGATAGGCTCGACGACGCGCGTCACGTACCATTCGTGCAAATCAGTACATTGAAAGACTTCAATGTTCCGGGTAGCCATGCTCTTGTTCGCGCGTTTATCACCAGCCATGAACTCACCATTAAAAATAGTGTTTATTTTTATAGACTCATATCTGTATGATGCACTGCACACGCTCGAGCACAATTTCATTCGCGTCTTCTAGGAATCGGCGAGATTCGTTATAATTGGAGTTTATTACCATGGTCCAAAAAGGAGATAATCATCGTTTTCAAAACTCTATTGACTCTCTCTCTACGGAGTTCGCCTGCGGATGGTACGGTGGTACGGTAGTGTGGGTGATCCCGTTTTCTTCGGCAATCGTTCACAGCGTATGGTTAATGTACTCGATGCCGTTGTCCGTTAGGAGGAATCTCGGAGTACCCCACCGCGACAAAATTAGCTCGTGTAGGGAGTCTCGAATAGTTTTTCCGTTCGCGCACCTGATGGTACTCCATCCACTTCGTAAATAAATCTTGAACCACTAAGACGTACACGAAACCTGCTTTGGCCCGCGGCAACGGTCCCATGATACCCGCGGCGACTGCGATCCACGGAGCCTCGACAACTCGGCGGCCCATCAATCCCATCGGTCCCACTTGCTCGACTTTCGCCCGTTGACACGTGTCGCATTTTCCGACGTAGTCAGCAACGGCGCGAAACATATTGGGCCAATAGTATACGATCGATAGCTTCTGATGGATTTTATCTATTCCGAGATGCTCTGCCTGCGGATCGTCATGTGATTCGCGGAGTACTTCCCCCCTCAGTTCTCTCAGTACAGCTAACTTCCATTCATCTAAGTCTTCCATGGCCGCGGTCTTCGCAACGGGGCGCTGTCTTTGAACGTACAAGCGGTACTCTGTCACTCTCCACTCCCCGAGGGTCTTCTTTCCCTCCGATACTTCTCGAAAATGTGCGCGGTACCACGGATTCTCCGTGTCTCGAAAAATCTTCACCTCTTTCCCCAGCGCGACCAAAAACGTCTCCAGCTCTTCCCCGGGAGCCTCGGAGTCACCTCCGAATGTTATCGATAACGCGTCCCGCGCGTGGTTTAGCGCCCTTCCTGTACACTACCTCGTAATCATACTCTAGGAGTTCTAGCGCCCACTGTGCCAGTCTACCTGTTGGGTTCCACAGATGGTGAAGCCAGCGTAAACTATTATGATCTGTCACGACGGTAAATCGGTACCCCTCCAAATACGGTCTAAACTTTCGTATCGCCCAGATTACAGCCAGACATTCCTGCTCGGTGACTGAATACCTTCTCTCGGTGTCCAGCAGCCCGCGACTCGCAAACGCGATGATATTCTCCACGCCATTGACTTCCTGCGCTAATACGGCGCCTAATCCGAACTAGCATCAGTTTGCAAGATAAAAGGGACTTTAAAATCTGGGCACGACAAGGTCGGAGCGGTAGCCAAACGCACGCGAATCTTCTCGGAAGCCTTATTTTGTTCGTCCCCCCACTCCCAACCTTGGTGCTTCCGCAGCAATCTCGTGAGTGGCTCGCTTGTTTTTGCAAATTGCGGTAAAAATCGCCGATACCACGATGACATTCCCAAGAATCAACGCAATTGGTTAATATTACGCGATGTGGGGTATTCCAGGATTGACTGCGCCTTCTCGGGGTCGACAGTCAGGCCGCCCCGTTGTACGACGAATCCCAGATACCGCATTTGAGAACGGCAGAATTCACATTTGTCAGGGTTTATCGTAAGACCCGCGTCGGAAATTTTTACCAATACTCGCTCGAGCCACTCAAGATGTTCCTCGAAAGTCGCGTTGACGACAACGATGTCGTCTAGGTCCGCGAAAGCGTGAGGCTCCATCTCCGGACCGATTAGACGATCTAGCAAACGCTGAAACGTCGCGGGCGCTTCTGTCAGTCTATATGGCATCCGTACGAAATGGTATAATCCCTTACCGGGGACGCTAAACGCGGTGATATCTCGACTTTCTTTAGCCTGAGGTATTTGAAAGTACGCCTGGCTTAAGTCAATCGTCGAGATATACCGCGCCGCTCGTAACTTATCCAATATACCAGTCATATTCGGTAACGGATACGCGTCCTTCTTTGAAACTTTGCGGAAGTCTAAACAGAAGCGATATTTCCCCTTTCGTTTCCTGACCATTACTATGGATGCTCGGCAAGCGGTGACACCGCGATCACTTACTCCACGCGGTATTTTATTCGCTAAAAATTCATCTAATCGCCCCTTTTGCTCGGCGGTCAGTTCGAAAAGTCCGTAACAGGCATATTCCACGCGATTACTAATCCTCTCGAAAGCACGACACTCTCACTGGCTGCTCGCGAAGTACCACCCTGACGCGGCAAAATCCAGACCCACGCCGAAAGTGCACAAAAAATCTACCCCCCAAAATGCAAGAAACTGCGAGATCTGACAGCAGACACACGCTAATTTCGCGTTGCAACCCCTCCAACCAAGGGTATTTTTATTTCTTCGGGTATCTCCGCTACCTGTCCGTTCGCGGTTCTTATGAAGTCGCCCGTAGCGCAGTTAGTGGGCCATCCCAAACGTCTTACTATGGCGATGCCCTCCTGCCCGTAAATCGTGCGACCCGATCCAGAATCCACCGACGCCATCAAAGAGTGTCCCGCAATGAAAACACAAAAGTATCGCAAAGGCGTGAAGCGTGTCCGAGGTGTACTGTAATACGTCAACCTGAAAAACGCGGGTCGCTGTCGGATTGACGGAAGTCGCGGAGACCCGCCCTAGCGACTCGCCTCCGCGTTTCCCGAACACGTGGGGCAATTCCGGAGAGTTACATCCGGTTTGCCGCAGCGGAAGCAGTATAGGCGACGCGCCTCCTGGCACTCCCGCGCGATATGGCCTATCTTCCCGCAATTCCAGTATTTCATGGTACTCGCGGCCGGTGACATCGCCCCGGCGCCTCCCCGTCCGCGCGAGGGATGCTTTTTGGTACCCGCGGCCCCTGCCATAGGCATATCTCATCGCGCAGGGCGAATTGAAATTCCGGATTCGCGAAGTGCGTCCGCCACGCGACCTCGAATTCGTCCCATCTTCGATACGATATGTCCCGCGTTCGAAACCAATACAACGCCACTCCCGTTAAAAACAAAGGCAAGCACCTCAAAAGATCTTCGTCCGATACGGGGAACAACGCGAGACTCTGCCTTACGCGCATCAAAAATGCTTCCGCGTCGTCTCCACGCGCGCCCGAGAATGTTACGTTCCACTTACGGAGCGCCTGTGAAATGTCGCGCACCGGGCCTCGCGGGTACGCGGTCGCGTTCCCCTCATTATGCATCCAAAACGGGGGCGAAAGGACGCGATTCCCTTGCCCTTCGCCCCGGCCCGCGCGGGGCCATCCAATCTCCGCGGTACACGGAGCCGGGCTATCCGGACGCATCGGTGTAGGAGGGCGCAAATGTCCCGCGACATCTTCCGCGCTCGACCCGCTCGTATCGTGATCCACCGGGGCCTCTAACTCGTAGCGAAGCAATCGGTCGTATAGCGCGGGGGTATTCTCCTCAATGTCTGTCCCCGCTGTTCGAGGGCTTCCTTCAGCCCTCTGCCGACAGCTGAAATATCCATAAAAATCGCGTCGGTCCATCGGACATCGCGACGTCCATGCGAAACTATGCTAATAAAACAACGAAATTCTCTGTTAAAACCAAAGAAATTCGCCGCAGTCGGTAGCAATCGCGATTCTTCTCGACAGCGGCTCCTAGATTGACCGCGAAACGAAAGATACACATGCCTGCTGCAAACTCTCCCTCTACTTCCGAGGTCTTTCCCTCTGAAATAACCTGTATTTCACCGAGTCGACAACCGCTCAAAGCTAATTTTCAAAATTTTCCGTGTCGTGCAACAACAACACACCAGGCAACCAAACTCTCATTATCGAGACACAAAGAGATCCCAACGACCGAAAAATATTTTCGCAAACACGAATGTACACGCGCGAATAACAACCGACACAGCTAGCTGCGCGAGATACGCACGCAACGTGTAACGACAACAAATGAGGCAACACACACAACCTTCCTCAAGTACACGAAGATTTTCGTAACTGACTATTATTCACACGATACGCCGAAATTTCAGGGTCACTCGCGATAATTCTGACTCTCTAATGTCGCGACGCGCACAATAAACACTGCTGAAAATAAGAAATTAATTCACTCACATGCAACGACAAAATATAAAACGCCAAATATAATTATCCTGCTCTCCCTCGCTCTTAGAACCCACAGAAAATTTTTTAGCTCTTTTAATCGAGGCTCTGCACGTTGGGCGCCAAATTTGTAACTGTACTCACGAGCAACGGCACAACTTCGTCGCGTGTTCTTCATTGTCCTCTTACAAAAGTATCTCCTTTCTCTCGTTAACTGAATTTGCGGCAGCCAGGCGGTTTTTCGGCCAAGATTGTAATTCTTACTACTAAGTTGGGCGTCAGG